ACGCACGCAGCGAACGCTACGCCACATCACACACACACACACACACACACACCCACACACATCGGCTCGGTATCTTCTCGCCATGACCCCACTATGCCCGGCAACTCCCTGCAAAAGCGTCCCTTGTGGTATACGCTTTTAACGTGCTTCCCTTTACCACTATCAATAACAGAATATATCAGGACGTAGCCCGCACGCATCAGCACAGCTCCGCGCATCGCTGTCAAGCCAGCAGCACACAGTCTCGCACCGGCGTTGAGAGTGTGGATCAGATGTTTACGACCATGAGACAAGGTAGTTAATAGTGAAGCCCATCCTCAACTGCTTCATGTACACCCCCTGATGTATAGAATGCTTGATAGCATTCCAGTGTGGACAATAATCCTTTCAACCTAGACTCGTCTCGACCTCTTCTCCCTCCCCCTCTCTCCCTCCCTCCGCTCTCATCTCTGCTCTCTCTCTCTCTCCTCGGCTCTCTCTCAACCATTCTTTTTCTCTCTCTGCTCTCTCCTCTTACACAATTACTCCTCGCGCTCTCTACTTCTCTCTCTCTGGCTCTCTCTCTCTCATCTCTTCTCTCTCTCTCTCTCTCTCTTCTCTTCTCTCTCTCTCTTCACACACACACATTTTCTCCCCCCCCCCACCCAGCAGATCCTCGCTACGCCAGCCTCTCACAGAAATTTTTTCGTAGACAATCCAACGGCGGTGTGTGGCGCGCCCGTCATAGAGTGACGGCATGGGTTGTGCTGTAGAGAGCAGAACGTTGCGGTGCGGTGCAATGCGGATGTGTATAGGGTCAGCGACGCCAGCCGCTGTCGCATTTCCTAATTTATACGTCTCGGTTGATGTATATGATTTTCTCCTGGGCATTGTCGTATTCTGCAGTAACTATATAATATAGCTGGTATATTATGCACTGCTACATTGATGTACCACTGCCGCCTCAAGCTAAGCCGAATTACTTATGAATAAAATCTCGTCCGATCACAGAGCAAGTCTACAAGAAATTGCATCATTCCTTACGAATCCATATAATAGCATCTGTGCATGTACCGTATCTTTACCGCATCATTCTCGTTGAATATGGTCGTGACATTGAACGTCGATCTAGAAATCTGCAACGGCGGTGACTAAAGGCGTGGGATTATTCGAATGAAAAATAGTCAGAAGTATCCAGTCGTAGCCAGCTTGCACTATAATGATATTCGAAACACGGAACATTTTTAGAGCATTTGGACGGTGCAGACATAATTTGTTCAGGCTAATCTAATGTTGTTCGTAGCCAAGAGAGACGTGCGAGCGAGAGGGCGAAGAAATAGGATAGAGAAGAGAGAGGAAGAGGGAGAGGGGAGAGATCGTGAGAAGATGAGAGCAGAGACGAGAGAAGAGAGACGAGAAAAAGAGCAGAAAGAGATGGGGATGAGTGAGAGAGAGAAAGAGAGAGAAGAGAGATGAGAGAGTAGAGAATGAGAGCAGAGTAGAAAAGATGAGAGTGCAGAGAGAGAGATTAGAGACGGAGACGAGAGAGATGAAAGAGATGAGACCGAGTGAGAGGGAGAGAAGAGAAGGGAGAAAGAGAGAAAGAGAGAGAAAGAGAAAGAGAGGGAGAGAGGGGTAGCACGAGTTATGGTGCAGAGAGTGGTACTGCGAGCGAACGTACCACCACTGTTTCAGATCTCCACTATAGTTTAAACGCTCTAAGCATATAATATATATATATATATAAATAGTGTTAAATAAAATCAGGAGTGAATAATAATATATTTATTAATAGATAATAATAGATAGATGATAATAAATGATAGATAATAATTAATAATAGATGTATTATTATTCACTCCTGATAAAATTAGTTATAATTCTATCTCACTTCCCTCAATTCTTTTCACTGGGGGTTATTATCCAAGGCGCGCGCGCACACACACATCTACTAATAGCAGCACAATTAAGTCGCTTAATGAGCCGCAGCATCTATTCCAAGATTGCTGTGTTAGTGGTGTCACCCATTACATCCACTCATGGCCATGTAGAGGATCATGAGCCTGGCGAATTGCCAACTCACGGACATCAACATCACCATCACATCAACATACGAACGCGTTGACAGTTCCGATACTTTTTTTAGCCAGTACATGACATTCACTGTATAGTGCCTAGAGCTATTTGCAGTGTAGTTATGTCATGTGAACAATATTCGTGTTCAATAGAAGTGGGTTAAGTCAAGATATCACAAAGGGCTGTATCACCGATCTCTGCACTTATATTATCTGACATGCTATATTTCATTTCTCACGCGCGTGACACTTTTATGATAATAACGTCAGTTAAAGATATAAACACCAGTCAAATAACGTAGGCATCCTTTACCATAACTATCGTGAATATTAGTGCAAAGCTAAGTTAGCAAAAACGTGTGTGCACTATTGACGACTACATGCACAAGCAAGTCATAACCGCACAAGGTCCACTACACCACGGAGACGTCAAATCACTCGGGAATTACACTAGTTAGGCCTGCAATTTGCATTTCACATTCTCGGCAGCTCTTGAAGCCTGCGCAACGAACTGAAGCAGACGCCTGCATGATTAAAGTCTTCGCGAAACTACGGAGACAATTGATTGTCTTCATTAATTGTGTGTTGCTAGCACATTCGGACAAAATAAGAACCTATAATTCAAAAAAAGCACCGATTTAAAGCGCATAGTTATTAATATAGGTACATTATTATCATATATATGTATGTGTGTATGTATATATGTGTATGTATATATGTGTATGTGTATGTGTATGTGTTCGTGTGTACGTGTAAGCTAGTGTATGCAGGGTGCGAAATCAACGGGAGTCCGGAGTCAAATACTCCCTGATTTACTGTTGGACTCCCTGATTTGACATATGCAGGAGTCTGCGTGACTCCCTGAAAATTCTGCTATACTAACTAGTTCGTTCCAGAGCACAGCCTCGCCGAATGTTTCAGTATTAAAATGCCCAAAGAAAATTTGGCAGACGTGCAACCTCATGAACCTTCAAAATAAGCACATGCGTTATTGTTAATATCTTTAGTTTTGAACTTCAGACTGCGGACTCTCTCGTTTTGAGGGCAGGGAGTTCGTTGGACTCCCTTGTTCACAAGTTAATTTATACCCCTGTGTACGTGTATATGTATATATGTATTAATGTATGTGTCGCGTGTGTCTACATTTTAACCTTGAGCCGTTAAGCATTGTTGACAACCGCCGACTCACAAACAAAACCATTTATACCAGATTACTTTAATGGGAACAAGTATAGAGGTGCAATGAGAACAACTCTATGCGAAGACATGTGATATGAGAAACAAGACTATGCATTGATATTCGAAAACAAATTACTAAATATTTGCACTCATCTATGTACTTGTACTTGTAGCATATATCTAACGTTTACGAAAAGTACTTCTTGCACCATGCATATAAAGCAGCAGCAAAACTCATCTTTGCTTATAGTTATAGATCGGGCCTCTCACTGGCTTAGTGCCAGTCTGCGGAGTGTTTCATCACAGTAAAGTCTGCATTGAGCGCAAAGTATGGCTGCTGTACCAAGACACACACATATATATAAATATATTATATATATACGCACGCGAGCAATGCCGAGCATGTATGCACACACACACACACACACACACACGTGTGCGCATACGGCATACGCTCACTCATGCACACACAGGCGCATGGCTTTCGCCAATACTATAGCCTATGGGCCTATTTCTTGTGGTCTTGGCTGCATGATTCTATTTGTGGAAACAGTTTCCAAAACAAGAGGCACACGTGGGAGGGGTATTACGAAAATATTTGTACATGTGCATGCAGCAGCACAGCAGACATCTAGAACATGGAATATACACACTACATAGGAATCAGGCCTCGAATTAAGCGACAAGAGGGGCAAGGCAATTTTTTGGGGGCATGTGAGAAATTGCCTTGAATTTTCTCTAAAATGGATGGGCACCGAGGCAATTTTAAAAGGCATCAAGGCAACTCTCACAATTTGAGAAGGGCACCAAGGCACTTTTGTTTTTACCGTGTATGTACAGACCGTCTCCCACCCACATGTACATCGTCTCCGCCCCATGTAACTTACACCGTAACACCGACCCGCTGTACCGCCCTTTGCTAATGAATCACAGAACAGGGTTCAACATTAACTTTTTATTCACTAGACCCATCAGGCCTAGAAGTGCTGTCAGCTGAGGAAAACCACTACCCGACCTAACTTCCCACTACCGCAGACGCCAGACCATTGTATGAAAAACTTTCTGGGCATCGTATGAATTCCTACAACAGAGCTACACACCGTACAGATCACAGCAGGCCATCTTGGCGCGAGCGTTGTTCCCACGCTTTTAAATAGGGCCGGGCCGAGTCCACGTTGCAGCATTTACAATATCGTGTTTTATCACGGCATACACAAGCGCACGAATTTTATCCGATGCGTCTACTGCAGTGTTGCAGCAAGCTACGTTGATATATTATTGTTTTGCCGAAAGGTAGACTGTATCCCCTCACTGCTCTGCTAGACAATGTACCACCTCTGCCGACAAACAGTGCGCCGCGAAACACCAGTCTAAGCCCGAGGCACCGACGGCAATTACACAAGAAAATGGAAGGGCAGTCACTGCCGTCGGTCGGTTGGATTTCAGGGCAGTACGCGATTGATAGGGGACGGCGACGGCAATTGCTGTCGGGTGCGTCGTTAATTCGAGCTTGATAGGAATGTAGTATCTTAAACTCAACACTTTTAACTATACCAACAGGTTCGTATCATTCTATGTATGTTTTTTCAGTACCAAAATTATTTATCATTTTAAAAGTTGTAACCAGTATTCAGCTTGAGGTATGTATAAACCATACAAAATTCGAGTGCAACTATAACAGTTTTACAAATACTGACAATAACCCAACTTTACTTGTCATGTCTTTGGCTTCATGGCTGCCATCTTGTTGTGATTTTGGTATTAGTCGCTTGTTTCATCCTGCAGTCGTTCTATCGTCTCATCACTCTTTTGTCTCAAGACGCCATGATTCTCGATCTGTTTCCAGTTCCTTAAAATATGAATACATGTGTTGGTAAATATATAACATCACAGTTCATCATAAGATTACTTTTATATATGACATCAGTAGCAATGTATGTTGAATTGTGTCGTATAGGGTATTACACTGCGACTTCAACCTGTAGTTGTTAACTTCACAAGAATCCAGTAGGTAAATACATTATCCTTGGCCATGGGTACCCTTATTGTATTGTACCATTAGATATAGGTTAGACAGTATTGATCTATGGCTATATAAAAAAAAAAAAACAAAAAAAAAAAAAAATAATCAATGATAACTACAATGTCTAATGACATTAAAACAGACAGAGGGCACTCAAAGAGAGTGCATACCTCCGCAGCGTGGTAAACATGTATACATGTGTATAACACTGCTCGCCTGCTGACTGGACGCCCTAAGGCGAGCTGCTGCTGACTGGACGCCCTAAGGCGAGCTGCTGCTGACTGGACGCCCTAAGGCGAGCTGGTGCTGAATCGATCGCGCCCAACGCGTGTAACATGTATACAGTGTATAACAGCTCGCTCGCTGCTGGCTACACACACACACGAACACACACACGAGAGCGATCACATTACCTCCCTGCAACTCTGTTGCGTGGAGGTAATTATTCACACAGATTCACACAGCTTACCCGCTCAAACTTCATTCTTTCGGACGACTTCGCGCTTTTATGCGCTTCCAATTTCTCAACAGTAAACTGCAGGTCGCTGATCTGAGCACTTTCTCTCTCATTTCGTTGAGCTAGCGCTTCAAGTTGCTCCAATACTGTGATAACCTTTGGCATGAGACATGCTATAGCATCAGTTCCATAAACATCGATAATGTGCTCAAATTCACGACCGATCCCGGCCGCACTTTCGTATACATCAACAACTGTAATGTCCGCGATCGCATCAAAATCCATCTTGACAATTTTTCAGCAATGATATACTTAAACTTAAACCATAAACATTTTAGCTCTGCTGCACATTCCAAATACGTTGTAACCACGGTAAACGAAGAGGCGTTATCATCATACGACCTGTTTGGACCTGCACACTCTCTGTCATGTTCATTTTTCTGGTAACTAGCGATCCTGGCGGCAGACACATTTCGTCGATGCGAGAAATATATATTTTTGTCACTGATCTAATGATAAATAGTTTAATACACTAAATTTACAGTATTGCGCTAAAAAATTTTAATTTTTAATTTTTAATTATAAAGCTGATATATTATTGTGAATCTGTACATTTCTCCACATATCCGGTTTTGTAGGTGGAGCTGCGAGCGTGTACTTGCGTGGCGTAAATTTGTTGTTAGTTAGAGCTCAGAGTTAGAGTATAGATTTACTCGAATTATTATTAAAAATGAATATCTTAGAAACATTACTGTTGTTGATAGTATCACTGCTATGCATTGCCTCAATTGACTGCTACTTCATCCACATCGATGCCAAAGGAGAGGAGTGTTTCTTTGATAAAGTGAAGACAGGGACGAAAATGGGTCTGACGTTTGAGGTGGCAGAAGGAGGCTTCCTGGATATAGACGTTAAAGTAATGATTAGCCCTATTTTAGTATATAGCTTGCTACTATATAGACAATAAGATTACTTTTACTTTAAATATTTTTTTACCTCTATGTAGTAAGAGTGTATGGTATTACTATTAGTTGGTGCAGGGCTGTGTGTACGTAACGTAGTCCTAACCAAGTTAGCTCTAGTAGTAGTAGTAGTAGTTACTAGTACTAGTAGTAGTATAGTACTTATAGCCCGCTTACCATTAACTCCCCACTGGCGCGGCAGTTATTGTAAGCGGGTTATAGTACTAGAGCTATAACTAAGTTAGCTCTAGAACTATAGCCCTTTGCTCTGCCGCAGGCTGATAGAACAATACTATGGCAATTTCCAAGGTAAGTAAGCAATAGACAACTTTTTACGGTTAATAACTTCTTTGGTACGCCAAATAAAGCACATTCTCTGTCGCACAAATGTCTTAAGTTACTGCAAACACTAAAATTAAACTGCAAACTAACGGTTAAATGTTGTACTTGCTATATTACTCGTCGACAAAGATTATTTACCAACTTGTCACCGCCATTGTAGCCGGCGCTAGTGAGCGGGCACAATGTATTTCCAAGTGGAGGGGTGGGCAGGTTGCACGCGGTTGCAGGCTGTTGCGGCAGACAGGACCGATGGCACCAAAGACCCGCGTATCGATGGAGAAACAGGAGAATACGCGCGTATCGATGGCAACAGAAACAGAAACAGAAACGACGGTGTTGATATACACCGGACCCCTCTACTTGGAAATACATTGTGCCCACTCACTAGCGCCGGAACCGCGCAACGAAAAATGGCGGTGACAAGTTGGTAAATAATCTTTGTCGACGAGTAATATAGCAAGTACAACATTTAACCGTTAGTTTGCAGTTTAATTTTAGTGTTTGCAGTAACTTAAGACATTTGTGCGACAGAGAATGTGCTTTATTTGGCGTACCAAAGAAGTTATTAACCGTAAAAAGTTGTCTTTGCTTATTACCTGGAAATTGCCATAGTATGTTCTATAGACCTGCGGCGGAGCGGAGGGCTATAGTTCTAGAGCTAGTGTCTAGAGCTAGAACTAACTAAGTAATATTATATAACCCGACCAGACAACTGGGTTTGCAGCTCATATCATATATGTTTCTCACTTTGATTACTTTCGCATGTGACATCTAGCAGCCGTAGCCATATGAATATTTAGTCTACGTGATATATGATTGATAATGTTTGTTATCTTCAGTGGATGAGTATGTTTGTATGCACTCAATTCATAATGGAATAAGTAAGGGTTCAACTGCTGTAATACTGGTAATAGTGACTGAGTGCATGTATGTGTGCTTTACAATTCTGACATTCACTAGTACTCACAATCGCAGCTTTGGTGACAAAGTGGGGTGTCTTATATGTTACCATATACCAATGCACTGCAGTCTTTTATGCACCTCCAACAAACAACCAATGTAACATTGAAGTCACGCTTAAGTTGTTACATAGCTGTCCTGGTTTTACAATGAAGCAATTTAGTAACCATAACATGTATCAGTGAGCAGTAATCATAATTTGCTTGCGTTTGCTGTCATTGTCCTAGATATAATGATCAAGTTTACAGGGTTCGACACTAACGCTAGTTCGTTAGTCCGAGACTAGTAAAAAATCAGAAGGACTAGTAGATTCCCATAGCAGTTAGTCCGGCGGGACTAGTTATATTTTCCCCGTCCCTCACCGTCCCAATTTCCCATCGATTTTACCGGCGGCAGCGTCTCGCATCCAAGATCCAAAGAGCTATATATAACTCGTCCCCATTAACAAGTTTTCCCTGTTAGAAGCACTAGTACAGGTAGACGCTAGCACACTCTGCACGCTCTAAGCATGCTAATAGACCCTACAGCATTCAATACTCTACAGAATGCAGTACAAACATTGTTAAACAATGAGGCCACGAACCCAGTCTATGGAAGCCAAGGGTATGACCTGTGGTGCAGGCTGTATGTCTGGTAGTTTTTCACCGGCACTACAAACTATCGTTTGGAAACTGTTAAAGCGCATGATGCTTCCGAGGGGCACAGAAAGATCCTAGCAAAAAGAAATGCAAGGACCATGTCTGTTCACGAAACAGTGGGGGCCCAAGTGACCCAGAACTGAGATTGAAATGGTGTGTGGCGATCAAAAGAGGTGATGAAAGTGCACACGCACACACGCACGTGTACGTGCACACGCACGCACACACGTGTACGTGCACACACGCACGGACGCACGTGTACGTGCACGCGCGCGCACACGCACGGACGCACGTGTACGTGCACACACACGCCCGCACACACGTGTACATGCACACGCACGCACGCACGTGTACGTGCACACGCACCCACGCACACACGTGTACGTGCCCACGTACATGTACATGCACACGCACCCACGCACGTGTACGTGCACACGCACGTACACACACACGCACGCACATGTACGTGCACACGCATGCACACACACACACGTGTACGTGCCTATGCACGCACACACGTGTACGTGCACACGCATGCACGCCCACACGTGTACGTGCGCACGCACGCACACACGTGTACGTGCGCACGCACGCACACACGTGTACGTGCCCACGCATGCACGCACGTGTACGTGCACATGCACGCGTGTACCGTACGTGCACACGCACCCACGTATGCGCGCACGTGTACGTGCACATGCACGCGTGTACCGTACGTGCACACGCA